TTTCGACAATTCATTTTCTTTCAAAATTCTTGGTATAGTTTGATAGCCAGCTCTACAAGCTTTAATTTGATATAGGGGTTTAGGTATCTACAGCTTAAACTGCACGCGCTACATCGCTTGCGCGCGAGACACCCCTGAAGGTATACTGTAACCTTAAGTCAACAAATGTTCACTTGCAAATTAGCCTCAGCTGTTGTTGAATGTTTGCTTGTTTATTTCTCTGACAGTTTGGTGGAAAAGACATAGATGATAGTCATGAAGCAGCCATGTTTGGCGCTGGTGGTACAGTGTCACAAGTTACTCCGTCGTCTACTGCTGCTGCTTTACCTGATGTGAAGACCACACCACAGCCAGTTATGACACAATCAGTCGATAAGGAGGGTCTGTTTGCTTCATGGGTAAGAGAGTTTTTATGGTTTAGATAAACTTATGGTGGGTCAAATATTGGTGAAGGGCTAACTTTAAAATGGTTGTCACTGGGAATTTGTTTCTTGATAACGTTTCCTATTTTAACTATTCGTATTTTGTTATATGGGACTCTGATGACACTATTTAATGCAAACAGCTGGATCAATAAAGTAACAGGTAACTGTGAAGAACAGCTCCCCGAAAAAACCCTTGGCCTACTGTCGGCCAACAGTTTAGGTTCAACCGTTTACTAGTTAGTTTCATATGCTAACCAGTTCCTTTGGAGCATCAAACCAGGCTAGGTGGAATCCTCGAAAAGGGCAGAACATGAGTCTTGCGACCAACTCGTGTAACATTTGTGCTAATCTTCATTGTTTCTTCAGCTTCACGAAGACGAAGAAACTAAGACGGCCCGCTGGATAACCAAGTTGAAAAAGATGCGACAGGAACTACTGGCAGCAACGTAACTTAAGTAAATAGTTAGAACTAAGACGCAAATATCCTATATAGCCCACGTCTTATTTATATTAAAGAAAACTTCTCAAGCAGGTTTTTCCTCAGTCTGTTTTATTGAAAATAAATTTAAGTCTTTTCTTGTTTTGTTTTCCTCAAACAGTTCCAAATGTTAAATACGCCACTTCTGTTGTGTTCAACACAAAAAATTCTCGGCTGATATAAACTTATCTAAGATTGTTTTCAAACTTTCTTAAAACTTATATTTACATAGGAGCTCTCATTATCTTTCTTTACATAACTTCCTACACTCTAGCGTACAAAAAACGTCTGGGTAATGTAAATAACTTAATTGAATGGTATTGTGGAAAATTCACGTAACGGGAAACAGTTTCTGCTCGAGATCTAAACGATTCCAGCATTAATTTCGTAACACCACTCCTCTCTTCTTTGAAGAACTATTGCTAATATTTTCCTTGATGCCATTAAGCTCGAAAGCTTACAATGAAGTTAACGGTATAAGTGTTTTTGTTTCGATTTTTTTTTCTTTTTGAAATCAAGCTATTCCGATCTTTCTTACTTCATCGGGTAGTTTTGGTTTCCCCTTATTTAAATTAACGTTTGCTTTCAAAAGTAGCAAGAAACTTTATGTTGTAATGTCAAGGGAAAGCAGGCTACCTCTTCAAACTCCAATGCAGCTGATGATATTAAATTTTCGTTATTAAAAAGTGAACTTTGTATAAAAATAACAATTCAAATAAAACTTCGATTACCAATGAGATCAAGGGTTTATTATCATTGTCATTATCCTGGCTAGAAGCTTGGTAACTGTGCGAAAACAAGATATTACGCAAATACGGTCTACTTCTAAAGTGAAAGGAATATCTTTATGGCCAAAAAAAATAAACAAATAATAGCATATTTAATTAAGAGTTAGTAACGAGTTAGTATAAATTTTCCACGGATCAACAGTCGTAGTCGCAGATCAGATCTTGAACGTAACCGTAGACAACAAACGCGATATACATGACGAAAAAGGAGAAACCAATTTTTCTGTTCAATTTAAACCGTACACTCGCAAAAATCCCGAGGGCGATGAGTAGAATAAGAAACAAAATGAAACCAAATTTGACGTGCGGTACCATCACAAGACTTCCTGAAGAAAGCATTTCCTAAAGGAACAAAAACGGCAAACGTCAGTTGAGAAATATTATACGGAAATTACAGAGAAATACAGAATTTTCAGACACCTGCAATGAGGCACTGTTAAATAGAACGCATGTGCTTTCGCGGGGTACGGGAGGAAGGAAGAAATCAAGACGTTTCTAGGCGTGAAATTAAAGTCGACATAGAGATTTTTTAATAGAAGGTTTTTGTTGTTTGTTGTTGTTGTTGTTCAACCTTTACCTTCTTGGTCATTAGAATGTAATATTTCACCATACATAAGATAAAGAATAGGTCACTTTTCTAGCGATTATTATTATTTTTTTTAAGGGTAGGTGAACATGTTAGTTGACGTTGAAACGATTACTTGCCTCTCAGAGAAGCTTAAATGCAAAGAAAAATCAGCAGTGTTGTTACCAGCCACACTAATGCGTTTTTGAAAGTATCCGTTTTCGTCTCAATGGAACGAAGCAAAATACTTTCGACCACACTAGCGTTTTCGAATGAAAACGCAGACTTTTTGATGCGTTTTCGCCTATCGTCCACACTAAAACGTTCAAAAACACCAATCGAAACCACAGTAGACGGCGCTTATTTTCGGCACCGTTTTCAAAAGCCTCCGTATGTTTCACCTATCCACACTAGAAACGATGCGTTTTCAAAAGCCTCCACTTTTGAAACCGTTTTCATCAACGTTTTCGGTCGTTGAAGTGTGGTCCGGGCCTTATTATGCTCAGTAAGTTAGCGCAGTGCATACTGGCACTCATTTTAGTTTCGGAAAGCCATCTATAGAGATGTGAATTAAGCCAGTTTGAGCTAAGAAGGCGGATATTTCTATCTTTACCTCTTCAACTGGTGTTAGTAAATGGATAGGTTCCAGGTTATCAATCAAGGTTCTGATAACAAATGGCAAGCCAATGCCAAGGTTGATGTCAAACACGTTTGATCCAATGGCGTTTGAAACAGCCATGTCTCCAAATCCATCCCGTGCGACAATGATTGAGCTCAAAGCATCCTGAAATGATGATATGATTATTTTATGCAGTATCATAATCCATCGAATATTTTCGCTCGCGCGCCATCGATCTAAACGTGTCAGGTGACTGAATATCCCCCAGCTAAAACTGGGGAATATCCGAATGATATTCCCCAATTTTCAAAACTGCGCCTGTTGCTAAAAATATTTGAAGGATAATAGACATAATAGCTTCCATTTGGCGCGAAAATATGCTCGGATATTTGGTAAAAACAGAAGTGACACACTCGGCTATCTCCTCTTGTGCCCCTTTTTCAGTTGTTCTTACCACATTTTGACGTCATCTGTGATCTATTTAACAATTAGATTATGAGGTCGAGATTTCTATCGCGTGATAGTTGACGAGCGCGCAGCCCAAATCAACTATCACGCATAGAAATCGAGAGCGAATAATCTTATTGTTTTACCATAAATCTATTAGTCGTTCAAAAATTTAATCCAAATCCTCTTCAAAGACACTTCGAAAACACAAGGAAGCGGGCCCCTAGCGCACTGTGCTACGCTACTCACTATCTACAACAGAATAGATAGTGAGTAGCATAGCCAATCAGAGAACGGCATTCGTGATAGAACGCTAGTAGATTTATACTGAACAGACGCACGGTAACATGGAGTCTATTTGTAGATAACCTCCAAAGGGAAAGATTGTTCTTTTATTGTGGTAATGGCGACGCTGATGATAAAAGCTCTGGAATCAATTACTTACCGGAACACTAGTGCCGATGGCAATGACTACTAATCCCATGGTAAACTTGTCCACGCTAAGAATGCACCCCGATCGCCCAACCAACGTTACCATGGCGAAGCTTAAAATGGCTATCCAAACGATAGACATCGTGAAGGAAGCTAGGAAGTACTTGCGGTTGTGTGGCTTACTGCAGTCCGGAATAGTCCAGGTAAACATACAGATAAATGGAAAGCTCAGTACAAATAATACCCAACCAAGGAAGAACTTAAATGGAGCGAGAGCGCCTCCCTCCACAGGGTACTCTGGGAACTCAGCAGACACTGCGGGTAAACATGGGCAAGGCCTCATTTTCTCTTGTTCCTCCTCGTCTGCTTTTACATCAGCCATGGATTTCATGCCGACTTTTGTCTCCTTATCATCGTCCATAGGTACTGTGTGGGCATTCCCGTTGGCATCCACGTGAACAACAGAGACCGTTGGCTGGTCCGCCATATCTGCTCGGCGTTTGGCGTACTCTTTCATCACTTGTTTCTGTGCCATGGATTTGAGCCTAAGTCCTTCCCCTGGGGTAAGGAATCCGACGGAACTCCTTCGGTGTGCCTTAGGGTCATAAATGTCTCTTAGAGTCGGATATGATACGGACAGCCGAGGCTTAACTTGAGGCCCGGAATGATGGCTGCGTCCCAGGGATAGATTGATCTGTGGTTGAAAACGGAAATCGATCGAAAAGTAGAGACAGGAATTAAAAAAGGTGTTTGAGATGTTGGTTAGCAAACTATCTCTCTGTGAAACTATCTTTCTGTGAAATTATCACGGTGACGGTGACGATCGCTAGGATTTGATTGTTGTGAATGTTCTGTTTTATTGCTTTCTATTTGAGGTACTCCGCAGTTTATAACCACGACAAAATTTTGAAAAACATTCCGCCGAAAATAGTAGAGTGAATGGTGGAATGCATTAAGCCCCGGCCAAACGATTGCAACATTACAACGCAACATATCGCAACATTGTTGAGCGCATCCTGTTGCGCGCGTTTGGCCACCCTGTTGCGACGTGTCAGGTGTTTTTGGCTCAAGTTTGAAAATGGTCGAATTTGAGCCAACAACATCCAACATGTCACAACAGGTTGGCCAAACGCGCGTAACATGTTGCGCCCAACATTGTTGCGATATGCTGCGTTGTAATGTTGCGATCGTTTGGCCGGGGCTTTAGTTCACTAATTTGTTTTTACTTTTTCAATGCTATCAATGTTGCTATGGCAACCTTTTCTTCTGCTACTTCTTTACCTCATTCCTGACAAAGTAAATCGCTTATAACTTGACACTACTGCGAGTCATCATAACTAACAAAATCAACTTCAAACATCTGTCTATCTAAGTTTGCTGTCTCTACTACTGATTTGCCTCTGCAGTGATCTGTACCATCCCTGAAGCACAGCTGCCATTCTTCCTGTTTTCCTCGACTGCCAACCACCTCTCTACATCAATGTAAGAGAATTAGCATAGATTTTACCTTCTTAGAACAGTTTCTTTACTGCGAAGTAACCTTTCTGCGAAGTGGCAATGTTCCTATTTTAAGACAGGTCATCCTTCGAGATTCATTTAATTAGCACCAACACGCGGAAATTATAGGTCGGTTCTACTTGAACATACTGGCGATACGTTAGTCGATAACTTTCTTTATAACTATACTCGTCACCCGTCCACGTGACTATATAGTAATACCCAGTTTTCTACGATAACCGTGAGCAATTCATATTGAGAAAATATTGTGTCGTTTTTGACTTACAGAAATAGAGTAACATTTTAAATATAAATAAATAAAAAATAAATAAATAATTTACAATATTTAGAGAGGATTCCACGTCAGCCATAGCTAGTTTTCACGCGGATTCCCTATCCAGGTCAGATCAATTTCATCACAGAAAAACTCAGGGCATATCCCAAATAACAAGATGGTCCAAAGCTGAGCTACGTCAGATTTTAACACGATATTTTAGAGCATACTAACATATGTGTACTTACAAATGACTTGGAGAGCTGCCCTTTGTTAGCATGTGTAAATCTGTGTCTTGTGTCGCTGGGGTTTGGCGTTAAGCACATCTGAGAGTTGTCCCCCTCACCCTCGTGGCTCTCCTGGAAGGTAAAGAAAGAAATAGCTGCTGTCAATACAAGAACTGAATCAGCCATACGTTGGATAAGTCGCATATTTAGAGGCAAAGAAAACACTGAAATTTTGTACATTTAGCCTCAAAGCCAGAGTAGAACTCGGATTGAAACTCAGGTTAGAACTGAGCTTTTGAAACTATTTCACCAGTAAGTCCAGTATTTTCCGAGCTGTATACCCGGGCCTGGTTACTCAACATTGCTTCTTACCAACGATTTTAGAGGAGGTAGCTTTCCTGCTGGTGTGCCTTGCCGACCTTGAAGTATTGCAGCAGAGGAACTTTGTGCAGTCTGATCAGCCTGAATATCGATGTCACTACTGACAAACTGTGTTACTTCTGTGTTTTGAGGGCTGACTTGTCCTCCCTTGTGCCTAAAAGAATAACATGACGAGAAAAATGATCGGAAGCCTGTAGTGTGACTAAAAAGTTCTCGTAAGAGTGATACATTTTCGTGTGCATGCTTACAGCTTTAACGGGTTTTGGCTTTTGTAAGGGTTCAAAAAGTGTGATTTGATGTCATTTTTTCACAAGCCAGAGCTTTCTATTTTCATATATACAAGAAAAATACAGCACGGGCCTTAACGGTCTAAACGAGTATTCTAAAATATTGAGTGTTTTTTGAGAGTATGGTTCAGGGCATTTACGTTTTAAGCATGCTTTATGATACAGATTTACGTGAGACTTACACTTTTTTGTATAAAAACATGGCTTTTACGCCGAGTACCGCGATGTATACTCTGTTAAATTAACTCAGGTATTTAGCCTTTATATGACACACCCACTCTAAAGACAGTTACAAGACTTGTTTATTCCAAAATTTGTCTACTCAGTTGTCATTTAGAGAAGTCAAGGTCTAAATATTACCGTTTACAATAGTATTTAAACAAAGTTTTTACTGCATTCATATTTGTTCATGTCATAATTCTTAGATGGGAGATTTTATTCTTTGTATTTTCTTAATCAAACTTAAAAAGGAAAAACAGAATTATTTTGTACTAACAGTGTATAAGACGCCAGCGGAAGCTCTTCGTCTCTTGAGGTGATTCTGCTCGGTGACCAATAAACAGGACCGTCGGTATTAGAAAAAAATGTTTGTTTATGAACTTATTCAAATAAACATAATTCATTCAATTATAAATATTACACCTACCGTTTACACAGCTGCTTACATGCACCGAACTCCGTTTACACTGTTTAATTGCACTTAATATTTGAACAAGGACTGAGATCCAGTTTGAGTTTAAGACTGTTAAAACGGCGATACGCGTAAGCATGCACACGAATGTTTAGGTATGAACGTTGTCGCTAACTCGCTCCCTCGCTCTCCCTTGCTCTCCCTCGCTTCAACTATGCTCTGTGGTTTAACAGATTTTGATCTTCGGTAGAACTGCACGTGCTCGTGTCGTTTTTCTTTTCTGCCGATATAACAGCTACAGGTAGAGATGTCGGCTGATTCTGACATAGTAGAGGACTTGCATATATTTATCACAGAACCTTTCACATTTCAGTAGAAAGAATATACGTACAGGAATATACGGAGTTACTTACTTAGCTCCAGCCATTAACTCCATTAACCGGCTGTTGAACTTCATCAAAACTATGTAAAGGAGGTAAAGGACTAGGAGAATTATAGACTCGTGAAGCTCGAACTTGCCATCCCATGCAAACCACGAAAAGAACCCAATTGACAAGGCGTAGCAGACAGAGTCTCTCATTAACGGTCTCCAGTCTAATTGAAGCACCTAAGGAATGTATGAAAATTGCCTTAATCGGTGTTTTGAAGATTGTGCACTACATTATGGCATGCACTCTAATTTCCTTCGCGAAGGTTATGCACAGAAATATGTTTGTCACTTGAAAAATACAAAATAGCTCTTCTTCACTTCACAAGGATGGAAGAGAACAACACAGAAATCGCAAAATATTGTTTGTTGAGAACACGTTCTCAAAACAAGAGACCTCTTTGCTAAAATCATGACGAAAACAAACTAGTTGACAAGGCATACCTTTCCAGCCAAAGCCGCAGTAAGAGCAATAATTACAAGCAGGTTGAATACTGCACTCCTGTGACATAAAAGAAAGAACAGCTGAATTTAGTAGCAGTTTCCGGAACTGTACAGATTGTACGTGGAACTGGAACGGCTACGCCTAAAACGTTCTTATAGCCACAGCAATTTTGTTCCTCCCCTTTTCCATAGTGAGCAGAAGAGGCAACTTTAGTGGATAGGGGAGCGTCTCAATCCGGGGGGTACTCCCTTATATGGGCTATATAGGCCGGGTATGTGCGGCCCCAAAGTGTATGGTTTTTTAGCCATTTTGGTCATAAATAGGGTATCGATTTTGGTGATTTTGGTGATTTTGGTCTGAAATAGGGAACGGTTTTTGCATCTGGTTTTTCTTGTCTTGAATTCGGTTTTTTTTTTAGACGAAGATACTTTTTCATAATAATCGATAAGACCATCAACAAAAGCCCTTCACAATGCCTTTAACGTCACTATGAACTAGGTAACTAATAACGAGACAGGTCTAAAGCAGGGTACTGATTTAAGTGTCAGGTCTTAGCTGAATAGGGCATCAAATGTTTGGTCAGGTCATAAATAGGGTAGAGAAAATCACAGATTTTGGTGTTAAACAGGGTAAAGGTTTTGGGAAGCGGGCCGCACACTCCCATCCGATTTTTCTGGGAGTACCTTACCGGTCCTCTTAAACACTTAATCAGGTATATCTTTGCAAGCTTCCGGGCTATTTTTGTCTTAAGTCGTCATTACCGGTGATTGGCCATGGTTATAGCATATATGAAACATCTTACCCGACTATCGTTCCAATTCCAACATCGCTCTCGACTGTAACACCTGCGACTGAAGTAAACAATTCTGGGGCAGAAGAACCTGCAGCCATGAAGGTTGCACCCGCAACATCCTCGGAAAGATCTAATTTTTCAGAAATAGCTTCTAACGATGGAACGAAAAAGTCATCGCAAACAATAGCGAGTGCTGTAAAAAACAATATATAAAAAGAGGGAAATATTTAGTCTTACATCGAGGAGAAAAGTGGAAAAATTATTCTATTTTCTCCATTCCTTGAGAGGTAGCTGGATTAATGAAAATAACAGAAAACAGCGGAGCGGCTGTCGCACGAATGTTATCCTGTCCTTGTAGCCACAGTTCCGAGTTATGGGAAGACTTTTCTATAGCTTTTCTCGTTCTTCCAAACGTTGTGCTACAACAACTCTTAAGATACAGGAACAAGCACGTGTACGTAATTTCTTGCCGCTCAAGAATATTTTCTTTAGTAAAAACAAAAAGCAACCTTATTTGTTTCCGGTTTGAGTAACTTAAAATTTTCAGTGTGTAAACCATGTACATGGCAAAAACATCAAACAAACATGACAATTACGAATTCCAACTGTATTTTACGTTTTGATGTTTGTATAATTACTTTCCGTTAGGTTAAAAAAGCATCAACCAGAATCGTACTTTACCTATGAAGATGACAAGAACGCAAAATATATGTAACGTTAGCCAGCCATATGCCCTAGTGGGAGCCCTCCACGAATCACGATTGGAATAGTTTCTTGCGTGGCCGATTTCAAAGTTGCAGGTTTCCCACTCGACAGTCGATAGCAGATGTCTTGATCGGAAAATTGATTCTGTGGGGAGATTGTAATAAATAATTGAACACTACAGATATGCAAATGCTACAAATGATTTATCACACTACAACAATAAAGCAAAGCCGTAAACAGACTTTTAAATCTCTTGCGTTCAAACCAAGTTAAGTTACACGGAAGAATAACTGGAAATAAGTGGGAACGAGTATTCTGGTAGAAATAAAACGCTTTTCCTTTGGACTCGGCTTCGGCGTATCAGTAATATAAACGTTTATAAAGTAATACTTTCAGTGGTTTGGCTGCAGCTATTGTTATCTTTATGTTAACTTCTAAAATATAGTAATACAAATGTCTATTTTGGTATCGCAAACTGTATTGACGGTATCTGGATTTTCCGCGAGCATGAACCACATTTGTTAGAAAAAGAAAGACCTAGGGGGCATTTATTTTGCCGACAAAACAATTGCTGAGAACATTCAAAGTTCAATTTACTCCTTAGTAGCTACCTCAGTAGTTCTTCACTGACAAGGATTTTCCGTCGTAATGCTCGAGTCGATTCATGACTTTTTTTTAAGACGATTTGCGCAATAAAAAATTCTTTTAATCTGTTAAAAAAAAACATGATCTTTCAAAAAAGATATGCATAGCACTCGAATTAACTGACAAAAATCAGTGGTAAAATTCCTGATCAGAGTGCTCGGATGCTGTAAAAACAGTCAGAGAAAATTGACTTAAAATTTCAAATTTTAATAAGTTACAATGTTTTGACGCTATTTGTCTTTTTATTTTTCTTCGCTGCCTTTTAAAATTCCTGTCATATTCCCATTATTAAATTTTGTTTAATTTTGAATGACGCGCACACGACTGTCTTTGAGAATCAACCGGCTGATTCTGAGGAAGACGTTTTGCTCAATATCCGGGCAGTCTGAACAAACATATGACCATTTTTGGTCGAAATAGTACGTTTACCTTCCAATTATAACGACAGAATCGGCACATAAGCCACTGCCCACACTTTCAAAAAAATTTGTGCCTCTACAAGTTGAAGATTTGTCACAATCGATTAAATTAGTGCTAGTACTTCAATTTTGTGCAGTTTTCATGATGAGAATGCAATTTTTCTTGCTAGAGTTGCAAGCTGAGGGAGTATAAATTTCAAATGGAACAGAAAAACGCGTTTTATTATCCATCTCCAGTCAGTCACCAGAAACAACTACAAACTTCCCACGGTTTTTGCAGTTTTTAGAGATGTTTAGCAGGTCAGTTGTAGTCCCCAGTTGTTTTCAAAGTTTGGCGTTTTCGACAGGTAAACACGCTGGATAATAAATCTGTCATAAAACATTTTAGTCTGTAAATCGTCCACCACAAAACCAAAACATTTCTTAGAATCGCTTGGCATTTCTGAACAAATATCGAGTACTCTCAGAGAGTTTCAACAGTAATTTGTGTTGATTTAAGTCTATGAGAGTTGACTCCGGAGTCAGAGTACGAAATTTTCCAAGAGTAGAAACATCGACTTGTTTTAAAATATGCCCAAGCTCGAAAATTTCCTCAACTACAAAACCAAAATAATACTTGAAATCGTTTGACATTTCTAAACAAAGATCTACTATTCTAAGGAGAACTGAATGAGTTATTTCTTAGAAATTCGATAATAATTTCAGACTGCCGCGGCTGCCGGGTATCTTTGTATTTGGACTCGTTTTACGGGCTCAAAGCCTGTTGACTATGTTCATAAGGTCATGCAAAAGAAACTGCTATGACCAAGGCCCAAACATCACACAAGCAATACTGCACCGAATCAGCTGCGTTTATAACATGGAACAACGTTTTTTACCCGTTCTGTTATAGCTCTTCAGAAAACTCGCACGTGGAATTAGCGACATACAAAAAAAATTCATCAAAATTCCTTTCTTTTTCTCTTTGTTAATTAAAAACGTCTGCATTGTTAGTGGCGTTTTGAATGGCTTATAACAACATTCAAAGCTGAGGTGCGGAAAAGCAATCAAACTAACAGAATGACGACAGGTGAAGAAAGTGTCTGAATCCTGAAAGTATTTCTTATTCTTTGCCTTTTTACGAGTCCTGTAAAACTCTATTCCCTTTTTTCATAAACGTAGGCCAAAACACACACCAATTACTCCCAGCTCGTGCGATTTATTTGGGTCTTGTGTAACTTGTTTATTGAGCTCCAGTCTTTTGTCACTTACAAGAAGACAGTTCGCAGTTAAACGTCAAAACAAGGAAAGATGTTTGTCATTCCTGTCCTATAAATAATGAAAAAATATGTTCGGATCCAAATTTCTAACATGTGCAAACAATAGCTGACAACAATACACAAAAATTAATAAAAGTGCTAGGAAAAATGCCTTACGACAAACAGTTCACATAGTCTTATCAGGCAGCGACACACAGCTTATTTCGGATATAATGCTTTCCATAGTCTCCTTTAACACGATGAAATCTTGAAGAAAACTGATAAGATAGAATCAACGGTTATTCTACAACAAATATCGACATTTAAGCTTGACTGTTGTATTGTGTGTGGAAGGTCCAATTAATTTGTTCTTTTGTTGTGCCCAAGGTAATTGAAACTTGTGGACAATCGTTTTGCAGTGGTGATGCTGTTGTCGAAATCTAGTAATTAATGGTGGGCTTAGCAAATAGGAAATTCTGCATTTCAGATGACACAAAATTAAGGATGCCTAAATACTAATATATTGTAACTACTGATTAAGCCCGAAAAAAACGTTTTGATTAAATAATGGCACAAAGACAACACAACAAGAAAGATGGTCCATAAAACTAACACAAGCAATTTTTTTTTCTCGAATTCTCCTATTTGTTGTATAATTATAGTTTGCTATAATTGTTTTTCTTTTAAACCCCTAATCTGAACATCTTTATTACTCGTGGGAGGAAATTACTTCGTGTCAAAATGAAAAGTGTGCACGATCAAAACTTATTTTGTTCTCCTGCTCTTTTCAACACATCAAACTTATTGCCAAAAAGATATAATTTGCATTTTAGTAATAAATTGACAGGCCTTTTGTAAGCCAAAGGCAATACTTAACACCTTGCCAGCAATTGTTTTTAAACATGAGCACAAGCAAAATAGAATACGAAAAATTGTGTTTTGGGAAAAAGGAATTGAACAATAATGGGATTAGCTTGCGGAATGGGGCCTCATCAAGTTTTAAAAACCGTGTATACATTGTGTTGTAAAGGGTACACGAAGCTCAAGACTGAATTTTGAATATCGCTTATTCTGCTGAAAGTAACAAATCAAATAAATGGTTGGTGATTGTTGCTGGAATACGTTAAATGCATTTCAGATATTGTACTGTCTAAAAGCTTATGTGCAATTAGCGGTGTATTAAGAACCTTGATTCAAATATAAATTTTACGTTTACATTAACAAGTTTTAGTGCTGTCCACAAAAAGTATGTTGTGTTAACATTTTTAAGAAGAAACACGTCAGCCAGGCAAGCAAGAATTAAGACATCCTTGGGTTTTTGTGCAGGAAAGGGAAAACAGAGCGAAAAAAATGTGATTGATATTATTGATTAGGTAACTTGGCTCAAAAAACCCGTTTCCTACATATTGTATCCAACATGCTAATAGCCCGGTTTTGTTCTTAATTTTTTTTATCTTCATCGGAGTCTGTCAGTGCTACTACAAATTAAACGAAATAAATTTTAATGCTTGTGTGCATTGTGCAACTGCTAACAAACAAACACATAGCACATCTGGAAACGATTTTATGTTACGAATATAATCGGCACTTTCTTCGAGAGAGTAAATTACCATAGGCAATTACAGGCTTCTTTGTCGAGATAATCGTTCTCATATTAAAGTAAAAAGTGTGGCGATGTCCTTCACTTGCGTAATATTGCCACTTAGAACAGATTTTCCTGTCATGCTTTGATATTTTTTAGCAGTGCTAGCGATTTCTTGGCTGATTTTTGGGGAGATCTTCGCTCAATTAAAGTTAAACAGACTCAGGAAAGTTGTTTTTCGATTACCGTCTTATGGTAATGTTTTGTTTTTCGGAGAATTTAGTTACGCCGGGAGGTGTTTTGCAAAATATATTTTATATAGGGCTGATAGAGTTGTTGTTGTTTTTTTTAATTTTTGTTCGGTCGCTGTGAATTGGCAAGTTTCCGGTTTGAGCTCTGCAAACTTCAAACATCATCTTTTGAACGAAGGGTGAAGTGAAAGAATTCGTAATCCGTCTTCTTCGCCTAATTCCTAAAGTTGAAAGGCGCTGAAGATTTCGAATAGACATTTGCTCACCTCAAAACTTAATATTTTATGAAAATTGGCTGAAGATAGATGGAAGAATCGAAATGCCCCGATCTGTTTCGGCGTCTTTATTGCTTACGTAGTTTCTATGGCATTTGCTGCAAACCATAAGGCGGATAAATCACGACAAAGATTAAAATCCAATAATTTTGTTGTTAAAACGTTGTCAAAAAGAGCTGTAGTTCTTACCGTCTGTCAAATCCAAGCCGTCGGCTGCTGCTTTCAGCATTAAACCGCAACCAACGAACAGTGATATCACCAAAATACGACGACACAAGATCAGACATTTTCGAAGCGGCGGCCTCGATGAAAACGTCGTTCTTCCTCTACGCCAGTTCATTTTCGGTGGCTGAAAATTGGATGACAAACAGACATGTGTTAGCTAAACATGATTCGAGTTTACGTCATGAAATATTAAGGACAAATTATGCTTAAAAGTAGTTTAGCCCACTGAAAGCAAAACATCGAAACGCACCCAAGATCTCCAAAAATGCGAGCTTGATAACAAGTTTTTTTCTGATAGCGCTTTTAACTTTTATTTTCGCCAATTTCCTGGTTTTTATTTGAGCAATTTAATCTACACTGCTTCAGGAATAAAACTGCTAAACTCAAATATATGGCCTCACGTGTAATAAACACCGTGACAACAGGAAACTCACTGGCTATTATCGGGTTGTCCAAAAGCGGTGTTTGACAAAAACAATTCGGCGAAGAGGTTTGACGTGCCAAAAATGAAGATCACTCAAAACCCAAACAACTGCACATGTTTACGCTGTTTACGGAAATACATTTCTTGCCAACTCCCTGCAGCGATAGTAATCTGTAAGAAAAGCAATCTGAAGTTTTTGATAAGACTTCCAGGTAAAAGTTTGCGCACCGCACACGCTAAATGGAAAACTCTTTTCCTTTCTCTTTCTCGTCGGCGCTTGAAGATTCATGAAAGCTTCATCGAAAACCTAAAAACACTGAAATGCAAACTAATTGAAATTCCCATCGACGATTGTAATTAACAATTTGAATAAATGAACATTTCAACGCGCAATTTTCATTTGTTGAAGGCGAAGTGCGGACAATACTTCATTTCAATATCAAGCTTTATGAGCTTATATGGCGAGATGTCAAGTGGACAGAAAAAACAGCGCTAGATTGTTTTTCTGCCACCTTGCAGCGACGGAGTTTACAAACTGACAGTTAACTGCATGGAAGATACCTCTTGTCCTCAGCTGCATTAGGTTGTCGGCCTTTTTCTCTTCTTTTTCATGCTCTATCATCCGTTTGATATTCTGTCGACCCCCATAGCCGTTGTATGATGTGAATCAAGGCTTTCGCCATTCAAAAGCGTTGATGCGTCACGATTACGTCATTGTAACCAAGGTAACGCCCTAATCAAGTGATTCTCGCTCCTTCGGGCCGTGTCTGCCTTGCAGACATCAAAATCTACTGCTGAAAATCATGAATTATTTACCTCTTGGCGGAAAGATGCTTGGAAAAACAAAACATTGTTTATAGTAGAAAATATGATCGCATGAATTAAGAAGTCCGTTTCCAGTCGACAAATATTTTAAATGTCCTTTAAAACGGCGAACGGCAAAAACATTTTTCTTGTTACGAATGATTAGAAAGAAAAATCTTCAAATTTTGATAAAACCCTCCAAAATTGTGTAATTTTGTTTAAATATGCACCACGCACCTTCAATATTCTATTCAATCTTGACAAAAATTATCGGCAGGAGAGATTGTGGTCTCACGACATCAAAATAATTCTTGCCGCATAATCAAAATATTTCTTTCAACCAGCTTATCGCCAAGACTGTTATTAGTTTTAGGGACCTTTAGCCTTGCAAATGATTTTAAACTGAATCAGTCGAGATTCGTGTCGTTGGGAAATCAAAACCAGTCGGTGAAACGCGAAAGTACCATTCTCCGATTTTACTGACTTCCGTACAAAAAGCGTTGTTTTGAAAATCTGTGGTAAACTAAAGACCTCGTATTTTTTATGCACTATGAAAACTCTACGAGGCGTTCAAAATTTCAAAAACACTAAATATAGTAGGCCTAGGTCTTGACTGGGCCAGTTGTTTGTCTTTTAAAGTGCAAAGCTGTTCAGAACTTAAAAATGAAATTAGCGATCTCCCTAGGAAAGATTTCCAATAAAACCATCTGCTGAATACAATTCCCAACATATTACATGCAGATTTTCAGATGTCTCGCACGCCATGAATTTTAAACCTCGTTTGCCTGACTTTCTGATCTTCTATTCATGCAAAAGATAAAGCATGGGTCTTTATACATTTAAATAAAGGTAATTTGTACCTACCTCGAATCTGCTTAAAAGAAATACTACCAAGCCGCAAGATCAGTCCGCCTATAGTCAGTTTGTTTTCGTTTCTCACTGAATGAGCACCACCGCAAAATTTCCATCGCAAAATAATATTCGCGCTATTTTGTCAATAACAGCTGTACAGAGCCAACGAATTTGCTACTAGCCACTTAATAAACCAAAATGTTATGAGAGTTATGATTAATTACTCAGAACAAGTCCCATGAAATAAGCCTTGAAATTTTCTTTCCACCAAGATATTATTATTATCGGCTTTTTTTAAATCGCGGGAAAAACACCCATATTCATTCTGATAAAAAAAAAATGAGATGAAACAGCGACACGCATAACTTGCCTTTTTCATTCCGTTGGAAGTATTTACTTTGCGTGTATTTGCAGGAAAGAATTATTGAGAAGTTAAATATGAAAATACGCACGTTCAAAACAAGACTTTACTATTTTTTTTTTCTAAGTCAGTTAACTTCAAACAATCAGCGGGGACACTTGTTGACGTTAACTGAAATGAAAGGTTAAACCTAACCATTTGCATATCGAAAAAAAACTGATTTAATGTTAGGAGATTAAAAATCCTCAGAACGCCATTGTTTCTTCTTTTCGTTTTCAGTGACGCTGAATGGTACTGTTGATGCATGTAAATTGAGGAATATTAGCTTGGTTGATTAGTTTGTTTGTCGCCTATTTGATTTATTTTATAACCTGCTTCCTTTGTTGGTTTAATCGTTTGCAAATCTAAATACACAAAATAATTAATTTCCGATGAGCAGAAAATATAAAATGGAGCCTTGGGAAACCGTCAACTATTGTCGTGCCCAACTCTCTCTTCGTTTCCTTCTCAAGGCTATAAAAATGAGGACGAGGCAGACTCATTTCCAGGCCCTTCTAGCTGGAATTAGAGATTAGCTCAAAAGTAAATCTATGGAAGTTTTTTTTTTTTTATAAGCGTTAGCCCTACAAAAGAAACTTGGAACCACCTTGCACACCAGGAAGTTATCTGGTCCTCGGCGGGGTGACAACCATAATAAAGTCTTGAGATCTATCTCGCCAAAGGTCAAAATAATGTTTCATTATTTGGAGTGATCCCTAATTTCATCTTTAGAGCTAATACTCACAAAGAAATTCCTGGATTATTACTCGAGCTTCCATAGGAAGAAGGGCGAGTCTAATAATGCTAGCCGTTTTATCTTGGGCGCCAAAAGGGGGTTCGTTCCGTGCTGAAAGCCTGGAAACTGGGGATGAGAACTGCGGCGATTTTACTACAAAAGTGCCAGGTCTCTGAGCAGTAGTTGAAATGGGCAATGATTAAAACGCAAGATAGTTGTTCTTTCTTGTTTCAGATGGGAGCATCTTCATTGGGTTGAGTAAACGTAAAGAGGACTGGGTCGAAAGGCATAGCACAACCAAGCAACCGGAAGTCAAATAGCTGCTAATGGGAGAAACCGCTGGTTGACGCTAGTCCTTGGAACGCGTTAGTATATGAGTGAGAAAATTACTTCATTGTGACTGGCTGAGAGCAGGCCAATTTATCGTTTATGTTAATGCAGTGCAGTGCACTGCGTAATTTTCTCAGTCATGTAATAAATGAGAAATCGTTCGTCGTGTTTAAAAATTCTTTCAAATTTTCGGAGAATTTTCAAATAACACTATAAGTAAATAAGAGCATTCACATTCACATACGATTACCCATACTTATCGGTATAATGCCAAGTTTTCATCAAAGGCGTTTTTATACGGTATATTAAACAGGACTGGCCAAGAACGTGCAACTAGCTTACTAGCTCAGAACTGGAACTAGCTTGGAACTGAGGCTAATGCAGCGAGTCTTTTCAAATGCAAATGACATTGTTCCCGCGCATGGGCCTCCCTTGCAAGCTAAGCCCAGTCCAAAGCCGAGAATACGAATATGGCCTGATACACGCTGACGTTATTCAGTTTAGGACCTCTAGATCTAACTGGTAAACAACGTTTTTCTTGTCGAAAATAGGTTTATCTCTTATACAGCTAAAAGCATAAAAAAGTTATTAGATTTTAGAAACACTAAATGCGATCTGATTGGAAATTGACATTCTAGAACTACCAAACCTACGGCCTGGAATCGTGGCGTTACCAAGCGCCAAAGCTATGGTGTTACCGATATTCGCATAGAAATATCAGAACATTTAAGGCCTTTAAAAACAGTAGCAAGAAAATTGACCTTTTGGGCCTTTTAACCTAACGTAATACTTATTATTAACTAATTAATTGTACAAATGATTGCCACTTTTAAATTTTAGCATAACGGATAATCACTCAAGATTATATTTTATGATATCCTGACACGTTTTTTTTTTTAAATTTGTGCTCACGAATTACTGATATTTTTCACTTTTAATTCTAATGGGTGGAATGCAAATTAGCTAGTGTGTCATTTTATCTTTCATGTGTTGTCATACCTTAGGGCTGGTTCACACTTTGACATAAACATAAGCATAAGAAAAATATGTGTGAACCGGGGTCACAGAAGCATAAGCATAAGGATGGCTATTGCGCAGGCGCAGTTCACCTCTCAGAATCAAAGATGGCGGATAACGAAGTGGAAATTGGATTGTTGCTACTGTTAAGCCGTAGAAATCGAAGAAGATTGCTTATGCAAAGACAAACACAAAGAAAACCGAGAAAGGTCTGGATAAGAGACATTTTTACGAGAAGAAAGACACAAGGCGATTATTATAACCTTGTACAAGAATTAAAGTCTGCCGATTTTTTGTCGTACAAACAAGGATAATTGCGGACAGATTCCGCCAACTTTTCGTTCACCTGCGTCAGCCATGTTTTCAGCTGACAGATTCTGACAGAGCGGGCCTGGATTTTATTTTTGTGTATTCCGCTGACAAGAAAACTCTTTATGCTTACGCTTATGCTTATGTATGCCCGGTTCACACTCCAGTATTCACAACATAAGCATAAGCATAAGCATAAGAAAATGGAAAAAGTACCATTCCTTGTGCTTATGCTTATGCTTATACTTATGCATATGCTTATGTAACCCCGGTTCACACATACTTTTCTTATGCTTATGTTTATGCTTATGCTTATGCTTATGTCAAAGTGTGAACCAGCCTTTAAGCATGGTTCTCATATGCCGCCGACATACCTGGGACATGGCCGCCGGCACGGCCTGGAACACCGTCACGGCATGCGTGAAACATTTATCGCCGAATCATAATCTGTCCCAGGCATTGAATGCCGACTTGTCTGCGAAGTTGAGCTGAGTTCAACTTCGCGGGCAAGCCGGCGGTTGTCGGCGATTTATGAACGTCATCTGCGGACTCAACGTACTCTAGTAAGACGATTCGATCCATATTTACAGGTGGAATGGTTGAAAATTGCGTCCAATCGATTTGCATTTCGCACCAATTTGAGCTCGTCGGCGATCCATCGCAGATGCGCCGGGGACCAACTGGAACAGATCGCCAAACGTTGTCAGTTCCAACCGGCGACTACATCAAAGGTAGGTCGGCGGGATATGAGAACCAGGCTTTACATAGAGCTGAGCGTATTGCACAATAAACTTCCTCCAAAATAATTAGCCTACACTCCTTGTTACTATCGTTATTCTTATTAGCAATTAGATTATGAGCTCAGCTCGAGATTTCTATCGCGAGTTAGTTGACGAGGCTTAGAGTGCAGCCCGAGTGAACCATCACGCATAGAAATCGAGAACGAATAATATCAAATGGTTTTGATATAAATCTATACTACCAGGAGCCATACTACCCGTTCAAAACTTTATTTAAATCGATCCTCTTCACAGACACTTTCAAAACGCAAAGAAGCCGCCGCCATTTTGTTAACAACAGCACACAGCGGGGCTACTCACCATCGACCCCAGAATAGATAGTGAGTAGTGTAGCCAATAAGAAAACGGCATTCGTGATAGAACGCTTGTAGATTTATACTAATGCAAATTTATAACTTAAGTTGAAGACAAGACACGCGTTTTAGCTTATTTTCAGTATAAAATTCATGTAAACAAATTTAAGATTTTCAGTATGAATGGGGATATATTCCAAGGGGTCGAAGATTTTGGAGGAGATTGTGTTCTCAAGTAAACATTTTAAATATTGTATTTGCCAAGATAGGTCTCCCAGAAGACATTTGACTTGTTACAACATCAATAAAATGTCAGGCACACAGGTGATAAGAACAGACAAATTTATCAGCTCGCGGTGGTTATCTTGATATAACCCCATATTCTCAGAACTAACCTATAAGGGAATGTTTAGCAACTAGATGGGAGAATTCCTGATCAGATCTTGGGAGTTAAAGGGTTAAGAGTAATTTTTTTTTCGCGATTTTACCTGCATGCTTCGAGAAATGTCCGGACTGAGACATAAGCTCTTTCTTACGGAAAGTCTAAATTTAAGAGTTGTTTCTCAAACGGGCTAAAAGTGAGCCACCTACGGGCAAAATACATTTCTTTGATAATCCCCGATAGATGAAGATACCCCACCCTCTTCCCTCCATAATTAAGACTTTTAAGGTTTGAAGTTCAAACATTGTTTCAAGAAGTAGAATTTATAATTAACAACAATAGATTATTAACAAGATTACCGATAAATTGCACAGCAAAACACTGGTTATACCTCCATTATGACCGGCACATCTCTCAACAAAGGAAAAACCCCGCATTTTTTGCTAAAAAAAAAAATCATCTAAAATTTGCCGGAACCTGTAATATATAATACTACTTTATCAATTGCACTCAAATTGCATTTTGGCATTTGACAGTAATCTGGTTTTTTAATTTCTTTTAATTTCCACCTTACTATTTATTTTTGCTTCTTGGATTTTAACGGCCGGAAATGGCTTTTTCACTTTGAAATTCTCTCCAAAGTCGTTATTGGTTTCTAAATCCTCGCCACTTTAATGGCTTTTATCGCTAAAATGTATTTACGGAGTGATTCTAACACATTAGGCAGTTCTTTCAAAGACTTTTTTGTTACTAATAGTTGGGAAGGAGAAACGCTTTTAAGTTAGTGAAGTGAGTTCGTAATTCTTCGCTCGATAGATTTTTTTAAAGAGTATTACAGCGCGAATATTAAGTCGCTTTTGAACAAAGAAATTTAAGAAAAAATAGAAATGACCTCAATTCTTCCACCGACACGCAAAGTTCGCTAATCTCACATTTACGTGCCGATTTTATCGCCTCTCGGAAAATAACATTCAGATTGGCACAAAAACGGATTGCGTAAGATTTGACAATATTGTTATCAGATAAACGTTTAAAACACAAAGGATTGGGCGCGAAATAGAAATAACTACTCAATCGTTCTGCTACGTGCCTGATGTTTGAACTTTTTTTATATAGATTTGCGATAACGGCAAGTAAAAGTGCTTTACTGTACTTTGAAGCTAAAACATTTTATGCAGGTGTCTGGAGTATTTGTATTCCCAGGATCCGATTTCAGAATAAGTCAGTTTTATATAAGAGTTCGCGTCCATTTGAAACCTAGTGGCAATACGTCTTAGCTACGGAGCGCAAACTGGCTTCTTTAGTAGGTACGATCAATCGACGGGCGGCCTCAAACGTACGCCACAAGGGTATTAACGGGGACTTCAGGCAAACCTTTCAGAAACATCGCGTAACTAGAACAGCCAACTTCAGAAAGAGTTTTTCCAAAAACATTTGACTCCTACACAAGGTACGTTTAATCTCGTAAGATTACAACAAAACATGCTTTTAATTTAAGCCTGACAGGTCACTAGGCTCGAACAAGTTTGAGACGTGAAAAGAGAAAGAGAGAACGTGCGGCATACGACATCCAAATGCGTCTTTTATTCAATTTTGTCATTGAGAAAACGAGCGGTTAGCTGCCGGTTTTGAAACATGATGACAAATGTAATTTTCAAGAAATTCGATTTATGTCAGGCTATATCTGAGGCAGAACAAAGCTAATTGTCTTGGCCTGTAGAATGACACTTCACTTCTTTTACGCTGCAAGAGAGTAAATTTTTTTTCGTTGAAAGGACACACAATTAGCTGGTTTTAATACACTGATCGAAAGAACCATAACACACTCGAAAGAGGGTTAATTTTTTTTTCCATATTGGTAGATAGTGAGAAAGATGTTGCGGTTATCAAGTCAAGAGTGAAACACATTGAAGAAAAACGCTGAGTCCCGGAAATCGTGCTGAATTCGGCTGGCTTCGAACCCATTAAGGACGCATAAATTTTCTTTGTCCCACGCTCGTAACACGATGGTACAGAATGAACACTGCATCTTTCTAATTTCGCAATCCAGCTTAACAAAATTGCCATCTTCCTCCATTTATCACTGGAAGATATCTTTAACGCAAATGCAAAAAGAACGAACCAGTCGCTTCAACGAGAAAGGAATGAACTTTGTCACTTTCTAACGAGTCAAAGCACGATTTGAAGAACCAAATACACTCTTTTTTATAAGAATACTGTTTTTCCGGCCGAGGCTGAATATTCTTATTTTTCTGCCGAATTTATCTTGAGATTATTCTTAATTCTTGTGAAAATATTCTTGTGACTATTTTCAGTTTATAGAGTATGACATTTCTGTTTTTGAATGTATTTGGTGTCTGGATGGTGATAAAGTAATTTTGGAACCAGCTTGTAGGCATCAAAGCCTGATATGACGCAGATAACTTCTTGCAGAAATTTTATTAGCATCGACCATACGGCTAATACTGTTTTTGTTGCTTTTTGGCTACTTTTGCCATTTAGGGAAAGGAAGAATATAATTTTATACGATTTAGTTAAAAACCAAAAAAAAAAAACCCATATAATTGTATTGTATTTACAAATTTTTGAAACAAAATTATATTCTTTTTAAAATTTCAGCCTCGGGCTTATTCTTAAAATATTCTTATAATTTTGGAAATTTCAGGCTCGACATCCTTATAAAATATATTCTTATAAAGAAAAGAGTGTATGGGGCATTGCGTGATAAGAGCAAAAGAACATCTGTGAATTTTAGTTTTTTGTTTGATAATATGAAAAATACGAAAAATTGCTGATATTGTGAGACATCGGTTAAAAGGTCGACACGCCAGTTCAATTTGTTGTTTGTTTTCTTTATTTCATGGTGTCTTATCTTTTATATATCATGCTTAATTGGAGCTTCTCGTAACCGGGATTTCACCGTCCTGGAGGCAGTCAAAAGTGATCGATAGTCTTTTGCCAGTTGCAGGGGTAGGGGTGGTTTACCAGCGAAGGGAGGGAGAAAAAGTATTGATTTCCGATGAAAACCACGAGATAAGGCATTACTCATAGAAAATATTCAGCGATGTGCGGTTGGACACTAAGGGCCTGTTTACAAGAAGAGAGGGTTACCCTAGCAAGCGAGTTACCCTGATAAGCGGGTTACCCTAGCACTCACACATTTCCTATTTTTTCTTCGTCGTGTTTAATTACAAGGCAGCTAGGGTTACCCGGGTAGGCAGGTTAACGTGTTTCTTTGTAAACACTCCAGGTAGGGTTAACCCGCCTTCCCTGGTTAACTTTCTAATTGTTTCCAGACCCTTTGAGTGTAACCGCGCATTAAGTTGCCCCGGGTTGTAGAATTACCCTACCCGTAAAATTTTGCTTCTGAACCCGAGCTATCTTTTGCCCTCCAGCTAGGGTTGGCCCGCTTGCTAGGGTAACCCTCCTTGTAAACAGGCCCTAAGGAAGCTGCCGGGATTGTTTGGGACCCGTCAAGGCAAAATTTAAAAGAACGGGAATTTCTAAAAGCAAATGGATAGTTTTAATTATATTATAAATTTTATACTATTTAACAGCTTTGTTTGTTTAAAAACATGACAATAGTTTACAGTGCGTTTACTGAAACCGGGGCCACCCAGACAATGAAAACCAATCAGATGGCAGAACTGAAACAATAGATTCCAACATTTTCAAATCCAGCCAGTCAAATGTCCTATTTTCAAATCCAGCCAATCAAATGTCTGGTACAAAACAAACTGAGAAAGCTACAGAAGCTAGACAGAAGACGATAAATTTTATACTTTTTGTCAGCTTTGTTTGTTTAAAAACATGACAATAGTTTACAGTGCGTTTACTGAAACCGGGGCCACCCAGACAATGAAAACCAATCAGATGGCAGAACTGAAACAATAGATTCCAACATTTTCANCATGAATTGAATTATATGGTGCACTTTCTATGGGGTAGTTGGCTGGTTTAGAAAATACATGAAAAGAAAAGAGTGTCACTCGTAAATATATATCGCCAGAGTGTGTGGTGTAGGGTCTGAATATTGTCGCCGTTGTTTAAAAGAACCCTTCAAATGGTTTCTTAGTAGGGAAGGTTCCTATGGCGCCGTCTTTTGTTTTTGCCCAAGTGATTTTACATGCAGAGGCTTTGGTTTATAGTACAACGCGGAAAAAAGTTCGTTTCAATTTCCGATGGTGTTATTTCAACACACTGATAACCCAGAAAGGGAGGTCAAATTCAAATTTTACGGTCGGCTGCATTAATGTCAACCGAAGGCTGTGTAAAAATAAAAACACGCGCAGACAACAGGAACGAAATCTATTTTGTAACAAAGTGTCAAAATCTATTATTCTGCGATTTAAACAACAACCGTAGAGATGATATTTTGTGCGGCCGTACCTTCACAGTGGAAAACGGTCAATATAATGAATTTATCACGGTTGTAAATGTAAAATCTGAAGTAAAGCACCGTAGTCGCGAGCATCACAACGAACAAGTTGAAATTTCATTGTTTTGTACCGGACATTTGATTGGCTGGATTTGAAAATGTTGGAATCTATTGTTTCAGTTCTGCCACCTGATTGGTTTTCATTGTCTGGGTGGCCCCGTTTTCAGTAAACGCGCTGTAACAAGGAGCAGACTTTTACCTACTTGGGATATCTGCTTTCATTCGTACGTTATAAGCTCGTTCTTTATTGCCCCGAGCTGTTCTCTTTTGTTCTTCGAGCCATTGGGGAGCTGGTGATCCGAGATGTAGCATGTAACCCAATACCACTTTGTTGCAAGTGAGTAATTGTAAAATGCAGCAATATCAATATATACAACAACTTTTATTGCAAAGCGCAGTTGGTACCACAGATAGGACAACGTAAACCGCTATTCCAAAATTCAATAAAAGTACTATTAGATTCTTTCAAAATGGTTTCGTGCCATTTATCACGCGGGGATATCGTTTTAAAAATAACCAGGTTACAAATTAATGGAAAGCGAAGCAATACAAGATGGAAACGTCTGTCAAATTATGAACTTCGTATGTCAAAAAAAAAACCCTGTGACGAACGTTATTAATAGGAACTGCAAAAGAAAATTGTTCAGACGAGATGTACTGTACAATTGGCGGCAAACGATTTTAACAAGATTAAGAATGTAAAAAAAAAAACCAATGGTTATGATTTTAGCAATGTTTCTAACGTAGAACATAATTAAACCAGCAGATGACATCTGACTTGGATTCTTTTTTCTTTTGACAGATCGTTCAGGTGCTGTTGACGCCTCGACCTCCTCGAGATTAAAGACAACGGCTGGATATTTAAATCACATCTAAATCCCGAGCCAGCCACAAAATGAACGAATCTCTTCCTTCAAACTCTTCTCGTGAAGTAACCAGCGACAGCCAACGTAGTCTTGCGTTTATTGCCACGAATGTCTTCCTTGTGATGATAATAATTTTTGCCGTATTTGGTAACACCCTGGTATGTTTAGCTTGTGTGATGTCGAAACGGCTTCAAAGTTTCACCAGTGCTTTCATAATCAGCCTCGCAGTGAGCGATATACTAGTTGGTGCAGTTTCCATGCCAGTCTGGCTGTCAGTTAATTTAACAGGAAAGCCAGATGCCGTGAATTTCCCAACGTTGTACAAAGCTTGGTTGTGTTTCGACATCGTCTGTGGAACAGCCTCCATCATGAACCTTGTGTTCATTAGCATCGACCGCTTCCTGGCTGTCAATCATCCTCTTCGTTATCCCATCATAGTCACTCGAAATCGGATCACGATCGGAATTGCATTCATCTGGATTTATTCTGTTACAATAGCGGCTATAAATCCACTCAAATGGCAGGACTACCCGTTGTTCGTCTCTTTAGCTTCGTTCTTCGTTCCTCTGTTAATCATGGTCGTCGCCTATTCTCGGATTTTCCACGTCGCCTTGACACACGCGCGCAGTATCCGTCGTGTACACCCAGATCAATCAATAACTAATCGGAGAGTGGCGGAAAATTTTAACCGCGACGTAAAGGCCGCCCGAACACTCAGCATTGTGATCGGTGCTTTTGTAGCGTGTTGGTGCCCGTTTTTCGTGGTGACGTTGGTGTTCACGTACTGTAAATCTTCTTGCAGCATTTCCGGCGATGTATTCGTCATGATGAAGTGGTTACACTACGGTAACTCAGCGCTAAACCCGCTTATCTACAGCTGTTTGAACAGGAATTTCAGGGCTGCTTTCAAGGATGTTTTGAGGAGGATCAATGTGAACAGGACAATGACGCATGCGCACAGTGTGACTACAAGACAACTTACAACTTTCGACGCGCCTCACAGTCAATCTTGGGCAATTGAAGAGCTTGATGACGCTAACAACAGAAGAATCTAGGGCCAAGAAGCGAAAGAAGAAGGAAGGTTTAAATGCTCTAAAAGCAATCTTGTCCCAAAGGAAGCTCCCTTTGAAGCGGGAGACATACTGAAAATGAGATGAATTTGCATAAAAATCACTTGAATAACACTGTAATTAGCAAAAACGTAAAACAACAAAATTGCTTTGTGAATCAACAGGCCCTTTCATCAACTTCATTGCGAGATGGATCAAGAGAAAGTGCTTGTACGAAATTGTAGCTTACTATCTGTCACAAGCGAGGAGCCTGTCTTCCACATATATGTTTATATCCCTTATGAGCCCCCACGAATATAAGCAGCCCCCCGTCTCCATCCATTTATAATCCCACCCAAGACCCCTTATGAAATTGTTTGAGCCAAGGGCTTATAGCTGGAATTGTGCAGTACATATAGCAATGGCAGCAGGCTCTCGTTTGACCAACACGTGCGAGCTAAGCGCGAACCCGCACCGAAAAACAAGTCGGCAAGCGAAGTGAGTCCGCTGGGAGTCAAACTTACTGATCCGTTCTCGCGACCTCTCTTGACCCACGCATATGGGCTGTGCTAGGTTCGCAAGTTGTTGTAGCCAAAATGTACAGTCGCCATCTGTTTTTCTAACTATGGTTAATAGTGCTAATGGTCCCTCTTCAAGACAAAATAAGCCTCATTTAATTGGCTTGTTATTGCAATGATACCTATAATGTGCACTTTTACATAGAAAGTGGTTGAAAAGCATACAGCGTATAGCGACCTCAAACTGGGGAACATTTAATATTTTAAGTATCTTATGCTATTTTCACTTTGCGTGAGATTGCCGTTATTGGCTTGTGCGTTGCCTAATAATAAAGCACAGTACCTTTCTTTAAGCGTAATAACCTATTCAATCAAATGTCTTACAATAATGGACATGATGGGGCTTGAGTAAGCTCATAAAAGGTCAAAGGCCCTCATCTACTCTAACAACTCTGGACTCCTGCAACAGTTTAGGGTCCCCATTTAGGATCCCAGTTTTGTGTCCTAGTTTTGGGTCCCTGGACCATTCATGCTATTTAAGCAACGCCTTCGAGGGGTATACCGTGGAATATCCTACGAGTCACTTGTATTTTCTCGGTTAAGTGAAAAGTGGGATATTACATGATATACCACGAGAGAGCGTTGGATAACTATTCTATACCATGACATAGAAAATACAGTGGCCCACACAGTCAATGCGACATACGCGCGGTGCATGATGGGAAGGTTGGATGTAATACCGTTGAATATACAACGGCTTTCCTGTATTCTGATTGGCTGTTTTTTCTATGGCATGGTATAAAGTGATATAACGAGCGTGCTTAACTCGATACAAAAAAAACGCTTTTTCAATTTTCAGTTGTAAAACACAGATAATTCGTCGCATTACAACAGTGTCCCAAGGACTTTTGTCCACGATTGCTCCGACGGGTTTCCAGTAGAAGGTCTTAGATTCAACCCCTACCTGGACAACACGGAATTCTTTTTTCTGGTATGCCTGTGTCACAATCTTTTCATAGGAAAGCAGTGTTTGATATTCACAAGTGTAAAAGCGTGCGAGCTTAACGACCCTCTTCACACGCTTGTTTCATTTCTCGCTCCTAAAACGAGAGAGACTGGACCAGAAAAATTTCAATCTGATGACGTAACTGTCTCGAGTAGCATACCGGTCTTGAATTGGTTGTTGCGCCAAGTTCAAAACTAAACAGCTCGTAATCAGAGGCTCTTCTCCGCCCTGTGTAGAGTAAGTGGGTCATAAGAATTTCTCGTATTGATGGAGTCTCACGCGTCTTGAACGAGCGAAAAATTGAACACGGGAAGAGTTCTTTATATCCAGATTGTACTTGTTCAGTCATAAGCTTGAAACATTAAATTCTTCTTACGGATTGCCATACGTTTCTTTTATGCATGTTCTGAGAATTTGGTTGTAAATCAAGACATTTCTCGTACTTAATGATTTTGTTTTATTCTCTTCACCTTTCTGCTCCAAGATGCAGTGTTTCAATAGTAGATGTTACGAGGACTAGGAAGTTAATCAACGATACGAGCGAACATGTAGAAGTTGATGGGAATTCCGGTCTTTCTGAGAGCAGCCTGAGCCCACAGTTTTGGTCTCAAAGTAGCTAGGCGACACATAAGGTAAAGTCTGCATGCGAGCCAAGTGGCCCATCAGGCCGGAGCTTATCCCGGTTTCTGTAGCATGAAGCGACTAGGAGTATTTCTACTCC